AATACCAGAGAGAGAGAACTTTAACACATATATGATCTGCCCACTGTCCAGAAAACTTATTGAAAGTTACTTGTTTTAGCCCATTTACTGTTTATGTGCAAAAGCAAATTGCTGACAGGAGCCCTCATGCCTAAGTTTACAGTTTTAAAAGTATTTTTAATCCAAAATAATTATTTGGTGTTGGCTTTTGTTTCCTCTGTCAAAAAAAAAAAAAAATCATAAAATTCTCTCTTGAATCTTTCTAAGCACCCTAACCTGGGCATTAGTGACTCAAAATTCCTCAGGCTTTAGGTGCTGACATCTTTAGGATTTTTCTGAAAGGACAAGAGAGACTTGGAGGTTAAGGAGAGCTCTGAAAACCCTCTCCTGACTACCTCCTTACAATGGAAACTGTTGGAGGAAGAACTTCACAGCAAATATCTGCTGCCTTTCTTCTACTCTCCCACCAATCATCACCGTATGGAAAAGCCGTCCTATTCCAGAGGCAAGTATCTCTGGAAGGCAAAATACTCCAAAAATTCCAGATTTTAATAGACAAAACTCCAGATTCCCATGTCTTAGTCAGTGACACAGCCCTAAAATCCTGTAAAAGGTTGCAAAAAATCTCCAAAGCTCTATGTCGGAGCAGCCAGGGCTCCAGTTATGTACCAAGTACCCCAGCTTCTCTGGGTGTGCTAATCCTGCCACTGCCCTGGACCCTGTGGGCTGACAGAAGACTCTCCATGAAGGCTCAACTGGAGCTGACTGTCATCTTGATGTGAAAGAAACAGGCTTAAACTGAATCTGGGGAAGCATGTTCTGTTGATGGCTATGTCCTCAGTTATGAAACAAAAGACGCAGTAAGCAAGAGATATACCCCCACATCTCCATTGCACAGAAACAGAAGCAACTGTGCTTGCCAAAGGTGCTTACAGAAGCAACAGAGGCTCGCTGGCTTCCAAGGAGATGTTTTACGTAGTATCATCATCAGCATCCTGGGACAGGAGTGCAGCGGGAACTGTCAGCAAGATCTCTCTGCAGGTAGAGGGATCAGTGCATGAAAACACATGGTAGTGCTCCAGAATGTCAGATTTCATTTGGAAAACAATTTTACTGTGTGGTTTCCAAGGAGTTATTACTACTCCAGGTAAAAGAAAAAATATTTTAAATTGATAGCGTCCTTTTAATCCTGTATCATAATTGGTTGAGAGGAGTACCTGCCAATGCAGAGAGGAGCAACAGGCTTTCAGAGTAATAATTAAATTACCTGCCCGTACTGCGCTTTACATCAGTAGATCTCAAAACACTTTACAAGAAGAAGTCAGCTTCACTATTTCTATTCTGTAGACTTAGTTTATATAGTTGATATTACATTCTCTTTTTATGTCTCCATAGGAAAGGATTCTGTAATGGAAGAACCTGTCTTTTGTAATGGGTAAATCACTAGTATTTAATTAAGCTAGTAATGGGATGATGTTCAGCAGCAGTTTAAAAATATCCCTGTCACCACACCTTCGAGAATATCACTTTTCCTGTCAAATAAGAAAATACACAAAATGTAAGATTTGCATGGGAGCTTTATTCTCTCTTTTATTTACATAACTACCACTAAGGCCTTTCCTCCTGGACAAGGAAGAATAAATACCTTCAATGCAGAATGTGCAAAAGTTCAATGAAGTGGCAGAATTATCTAATGGCTAATTTAGGGATGCACATAACCAGAGCAAAAAGGTGACAGTTCTTTACACCAGCTGAAGTTGTATTTCCTGAATTCCTCTTCAGGAGCATGGTGCGTGCCGTTTATCATGGCACTTCACTTCTCCAAATCTCCGATTCTGTTGGAGCAATGATCTGTTAAAAGTCTGACATTTTCAAGCATAGAAGAAAAGCACTTTCCTGCTTGTATTCCAAGTATTATCCACATTTGAGAATGTGGGCTTGATATTGTATGTGTGCATAATACTGTATGGTATGCATGTGCACTCAGAGAATTTACTGATCCTGAGGTGCAATTTCTTGGTTTTCAGAGAGTACATTACCAAGGAGTATATAGTATCTTGAATAGGTATCTCTCTTCTTGCAGGATGGCAGCAGCTTTCTCTTTTATTTCATGTTGTTCAACATTAAAAAAAAACCCAAAACCCCAAACCCAAACCAAATATCTACAGAAATCATCTCTGCTTTATTGTGAAACACTCTCCTTTGACATTTCTAACATGTAAATTTGTAATTAAGAAACCTCCTGACATATATTTTTATGTAAACTATAGATAAAAGCATACAGAAAGTGATCCCATAAGTAATCACAGCCTCATCCACTGTTCTAGTGAGCAAGCTCACTAAACACAGTGTGTGATCTTGTGTTCTTTACCTAATCCCCAGGGCTAATTCATTAAAACAGGGAAAAAAAAAAAATACTGTCTTAATTCATATTGTTATTAAATAATGTATTTTAAAAAATCTAAATTTAGTTTTCTCCTCTTTTAAATGCACTATTTATCCCATTTAGTGAGACCTGTTGTTTCAGAGCACAATTTGTTCCACTGGAGTGGTAGGATTTCATACAGGCATACCCATGCTAGCTTTGGACTCTACCCCTCCAATACCCACGGTGGTACAGAACTCAGCCCAGAATACATATTTGAGCATGAAGTATCTCAGACCAGTTTTACTGTCTGCTCTAAACTTAGCGCTGCTATTGCTACACTGATAGAAGTTTCAGTGGCTCTGTCAGAGCTGTAGTTAGACTTATGAAAATGGCTTTGTAAATCCTCATTTTGATTTTTTTCTCAAAACTTGTTTTCATCCAGATATTTAGGTTTCCTTGATCATGTTTTTACTTAATTATTTTTTTTTCCCTGTAATATTGGGGCAGAAACAGAGCACAACTGCACTACAAACCCCTATGACATATCTTCTAGAAGAGCGTGTTCTATAATTGCTCGTGCCATTGCATCTTGGTGATTTCCTACAGAAGTCTATTAGTCATCAGTGGGAAGAAGCTCCAGAACAAGGCGGCACAGAGTAGTAACCAGGGAGGGCAGGCCAAGGAGGGCTGCTTGGGCAGTAAGGGAGTTCTCTTATTCCTCTGCTATACCTGCTAAGCTAATGCCAGGAAATTAATTACTTTGGCATAGACAGTAACCTCCCAAATCCCAAAAGAGCACACAGAAGCGGCTCCACAGCACCCTGTGCCTGCCAGCCCAGAGAAATGTGTGATGGGATATGGGATCATGAGTCCAGGGTGAGAAACTGCGAGGATGTATCATTCATTACCACCACCCACAGCATGACTGCAGATGTGGGACCTGAGAATGGAGTGCTAGTGCAGAGAATGTCAGGATGCAGAAGCGTGGTAGGCTGCCGTATGTTGGCAAGAGCGAGATTACCTAACCCATGGTTAGCATGCAGTGTAGGCAGGTTTTATTAGCAAAGTTCAGACCATGATGTGCTAATTAAAGAAGAGGTTGTCCTAGTTGCTAAGGAAATGAATGCTTTCTGTATTGCTGCTTCTACCCCAACAAAGCATGTTCTCAGCTGTCCCTCCGGTTGCATTTGCCAGAAAGAGGGGTCAGGGATTGATATTGTTGTTTCTGTGATTACAGTGCTCCTGTGAGCTGATTTTCAGGTCAAGAGTCACGGGTGAAAGAGATGCCAGGCAAAAGTGGTTTAAAACACTCCTCTATCAGATACCCGTCTAGTGACAAGCTCCTCTCAAAACTAGTGGTCTCAGAGTATATTGTTTTGTTTTTTAAGTTCAGTTCTGCCTCATCTGGGAAAGATACAGTCTAGACTAAGAGGTCTGTATGCTTTAAAATTGGTCTAACTGTCAGCTCTTCTGTAAGGCAGAGGCTGACTGAGTGTTGGAGCCAGTCCTAGAATGAAGATGTAAAGGTTTGAATTTTTTATTAGTAAAGAAGCTGGCTACCACCAGACAGGCATCTTGCTTAGCTTATTGTCATGAGAAAGCATTCCTCTATCATAATACATACTGTGCATAGGCAGCTGCTAGAAACATAGGGATGCATCAATATCAACAGGACTGAAAACTGCGTATTGTGAAGCTAATGTGTAAGTGAAAAACCGTCTTCATGGGGTGGTCCATTTCTGACTGCTAGTCCCACAGCAATTCTGTCATCCTTCATTCTCAGTGTGAGATTTATATCAGTCCCAGACTGAAACTTAAATGATTGTGTACAACATCTTCAAAGCATTTCTTTTCTTTCCCTTCTGCATTCTCCATGGAAACCCTGTCACCAGCACTACAAAACTTTCTCCTCTGTCACCCTGGGACAATAGTTGTCTGGCTATAACTTTGTCTCTGTGAGATCCCAGAGCCATGATCCTCCTGTGTCATGGAGATGGGCAATGATAATAAAAATCTCATTAAGAGAATATTGTGTCTGTCTTTGGGGGACAATAGAGCTCTGCATTAACCTCCAGTTTCCAGTATGCTGGACCACTGTATTTTTTTCTTCTTATGCTTTTATTTCCTGAAGTAATATTTCTCTAGCTGACTATTATACTGGAACACATTCCCTTTACTTCATCTGCTCCCCTCCTACCTCAATGCAGATGTTGCAGCATCTGGCATCACCCTTCCCCACCAGCTGGTTCATTGCTGCATTCTCCAAGTTGCCACTTTCCAAAGACCCTTGAAGTCACAGAGTTCCGCTTGTAACTTTCTCTCTCTGAGGACTCTAACCCCAATGTGACATTTATTTCTCTTTCTCTTAAAAAAGCTCTCTCTGCAATTTTATCTGGTCTAATTTTGCATTGCAAATTGCAATACCGTTTTGCTAATTCAAATGTTTCATCTGCATTGCATTCTGCAGAAAGGGACCGTGAAACCCTCAAAACACAAAAATCTTTAGCTGAACTTCAAACTGGACTTGATAGATGAGCAGGAACCTCTTGCTGCCCCAGACTCACAGCAGATACCAGAACCTGCCAGAATCTCCTGTTGCCTGCTGGAGACAGATGTGGACTGTTAGACTTTGAATATTTGGGAGAAAGTTCTGAGAGAAGGAAAACCAGCAACAACTAAGCCTAAGTTCTTGCCCTGAGTTACTTTGTTTTGATGGTTTGGTTGTTGTTGTGGTCGGGTTTTGTTTCAAACATTCTTTCTGTTAATAAAGCTGGAAGAGAAAGGATGAGACCTTGGTGCTATGATGAAGGCAGAATTTTCATTTGCACTTGTGTTTTGGTAGGGGCTTCATCAGTTTACAGAGAGGGATAAAAGCAGCTGTGAATATCCTCAATGTCTGCTATGTGAAGAACTGTGAGTGCCCCTGTGGGAGAAAAATTTGCCATAATTAGGTATTATTAGTCTCAGTGGTCAATGTTCATCAGAAGTTCATCTTTTCTGACACAGTCTTGGTCTGTGATGAAGCCTCATGCTTCAGTCTTTGCCAAATTAACAGGAAACCAAGATAAACCAGACATCTCTAAAGACCTTTGCTGCATATAAAATGTACCAATCATTTTAAAATCTCTTGGAACAATCTGCTTAGATAAGATGTTATTAGAAATGCTGACATTTAACAGAGGAATTTACTTTCAGCATGATCCATATTGGATAGTAAGAGGGGGCAGGAGTTCTTGAAAGATGCAAAGAACTCTTAAAAAATTAGGAATTGTTCTCTACACTATATTTATAAATCAAATATATCAGTTCTTGCTTAAATTGAAAGTTAATTTGTACTCAGAGTGGATATTCATAACATGTCCTCTCCTTTTTACAAGAGATCAGATCAAGGATAGGTTCAGCCCTTTCATCATAACTTTTGCTTTGGTATGTAACATTTGGAGACTGACTGACTACACCTCTTTAGTGCACAATCTCAGAGTGGGCAAGAGCCAACATAGCTGTTTTGTCATTCCCATTTAACCTCTACAGGATTATCGTTGCTTTACTCATTAATATTTCACTGCCTGTCATCACATTCACTGGTCTCTCTATTCAAGTTGGTTACTGATGGGACAGTTGGTCTCAACAGTTAATTACTTGTCAAATTAATCACTACTTCCACTTGTGAGACACATCTTTATATAGAAAGTGTACTGCATTTCCAGGGAGAACGTTACAAAATTAACTAAAGGTATTTTGAATGTTCCACAAACTGGGTGAGATTTGTTGAGCTAGCCATTCAGCATACTGGGAAATCTGTGGGCTGCAATTCAGAAGATGCTTTTAGTCTACTCTGCTTCTTCTCTGATTTTCTCCCAGATTTCATTTTAATTATTCCCTTCATTTCTCTGAAACAGCAAAGTCTCTTTTTCCTTCATCCTTTGCATTTATTTTTGCATAGGTCTCTGGCTCCGTTGTCCATCTTCACCTTTTCTTTCGCCATGTTGCAATCTCTTCTCCTTCTCATACCCCTCTACTTCTCCTCCCCCCATTTTTTTTTACCCTCACATGTTCTTAATGTTTATTTTTATTTACTTGCTTTTGGGGACTTGCATTCAAAGACCATCTTCTTCCTCAGAGACTCCCAACCTCCTCTGGAGGCCAGGTATCTGTCAGTGTTCCTCCACCAACCTTTCCCTAATTACGGCTGGAGCATCAGCTTCTTGTCATAGCTGTAGAGGAAAAAGCAAATGACTCTTTTACTGTTGGCAGCCATCCTCCTTTTCCTCCCATGTGCTCCTTCTCATCCAGTAATACCCATCAGTTCTGGACAACCCATGAAAAAATCAACAGGCTGGTAATTATATGTTTTCCAGCATACTTTTACTACCAGCATCTTAAGAATTGAGATCTGAGTTAGATACCAAAGATACCAAGAGTATATTAAAATGATGTAATGTTCTATTCAGGTTGTGTCTTTTTGATAAAGGAAAAGATCCTCTTAAGGGCATTCCCTATGCTTTTTATAGAATAGCAGTGTAAAAAAAGGTTGCTAATTTTCAGTGCCTACAACAGTATGAGCATTTAAATGTATATACTCCCAGCTGAGAACCAGCATTAACAACAAGTTAAAGCATTTAGACTATAAATCAAACCAATACAAGCCATAAAGGAAAACAAACAAACAAACAAAAAACAAAACCAAGAACTAAACATCAAAGTTCTTCAGTGCCTTGTCTGTGCTCTACACAACTGTTCTTTATTCTGGCTACTTTTTACTCCCTCCCACTGCCCAGATGTTTCCACTTGCACCTGTGAATTACTGCTTTAACAAATCAAGGGAATCTGGAAACATATGAAGTAAATAGATCACAAATTTAGAAAAGAGGTTCTTACAACTACAGAAGTACAGAAGTCAGGTTGATTTATTTTTTCCTCTCTGAAGAGGACATGTGTCAAACTGAAAAACTAGCTCTGTATCGCATACAAATTACTACTTAAGAACTTATTTCCCCAAGCAATGTTTCCATAACACCATATTCCACCTAACTAGTTCTTTACTACTGCGTCTTTTTGTTCTCTCTGAAACAATTACTTATGTGATAATCAATTCAGACTCTTTAATTCTTTTATTTTCAAATAAAGGGACTGGTAAACATAAGGGAACAGAGCAGATTCCTGCCAAAATCAGTGGAAAGATTCAGTGCTTGATAAGACATACCTCATGTGCATTTTTAGTGGAGACCCTGCAGTTCTAGGGGAGGATTCTGCATCACTCATTCATCAAGTCTCACAGTTCAGAACACAGTGAGACCCTTATTTTGTGCGTATATGAATGTGAGATAAGGTTTTAAAGAATTTATGGATCTGTCTACTTGCAAGGAGGGGGTTGTTTTGACTGTTGCTTTCAGAAAGATGGTGAGTTTAGTTGTATGGAATGCGAAATGCACTGTATTAAGTTAATTCTTTCTTACTCAGAACTACTAGGAGTAGTACCTTTAGGTAACATTTCTTGATAGGTAAAAATATAGTAAGCTTTTCCTATAATTAAAAAAAATGCATTTACATGTGCAAAGATATCTAGTAAACCTACCTAATAATCTCTAATAATGATAAATGGTTCATGCACATTTGATTTCAACTTGCCTTCTGTTCCTGTACTGTCCCAGATTGGGTCGCCTTCCACCACTCCAAATCTCTTAAAAAGCTGCCTTCTATGTTTGTTTGACAAAACCTACCAAAGAGGTGAATAGGCCACACCCATCTTTATCATTAAATCAGAGGGGATTTCTGGTACACATGTAAGCCCTAGTCCTGTAAAGCAGAGCCAGCTCAACACTTCTCACAACATACATAAAATGCAGTGTTTCTGCCTCAAAGAAGAGGGACTAAGGATGGGGCTGCTATTGCTACGGGAAAGGAATTGGAGGGAGGCAGGCTGCAGATCGTGTGGAAAGCGCCCACTGCCAGCAGCTCTGAGAGGGTGGGTAGCACGTTGCTGGGCACAGCGCAGGGCTGCTGGAAAGGCTTCTGAAAGCCAGGGGTGGCCACCACACCAGCCACCCTACCTGTTCTCCAGGTGGTGACAGCTGCGGTCACAGCAGCCAACCTGGTTTTCCATGGCCCTGGCACAGACGAAGCAACATGCTGGACCGCAGCTTACCTGGTCCACACCTGGGCCTGGTCTGCTGCAAAGGTTGACAGACTCTTATAAAAGTCTTCTTGATTTCTCGGGGAAAACTGGCATCACGCAGTGTTTAGCACATCTGTACAGCTTTTTCAGAGTTGTGGTCTCAGCACCCACAGTCTTTGGTGACTCACTGAAGCTAGAGATGGGATCTTCAATCTTGTCCCAGAGTCTCAGGCCTCCACTGAGCCACAGCACCTGCAACAAGCTCTGGAAAATTCCCAAGCTCCTGCAACTTGACATCACAAAAACTTGTAAATATAAAGAACCTATTTGAGATCATTTGTAGTGACTGCTAAAATTCACTTGTAATTTCCTCTCTGAGTTCTGTTCATTTGGACTCATGTTACACAGCATGTTCAGAATCCTATCTAATTTCCATTTGTTTGGGGCATATTTTTTAATATGCATGCCAATTAGAAGCTATGCAATTTTTCTCATTAACAGACTTAACCAGTCAAAAAGACATTTGTGCCCACATTTCCACCAGTTATATTCCAGCCTGGTGCACTTTTATGTTCATTTCATCTAAACTTTATAAGTGCATGATGCGACTCTTTGGTTCCTTTCTTTTTGCTCACTGCCCCCTCCGAGTCCACTCTATAGTGTTACTTATGGTGTTGGGTTTGTTTTGACACTGTCATCCCCCAGGTTTAAACAGCCAATGTACTGCTGATGTGGTTCATCAGGAACGAATGTCTAGGTCTCAGGGAAAGCAATAGGTTTGAGCAGCAGTACTGGAGGCAGAGCTGGTAACAGCTACAGCAAGAGGCTAAGGAATGAAGTGCACACTCTATCCATCTGCAGAATGGTTGCTCCACTACCCAGCTTAGCCTTGTCAGGCTGACAACATTGTGCAAGGTCCCGAGGCAATTGTTGTGATTGTTTGCCCTCAAGTAGTGCTGAGAGTCATCTGGGATTTTGACACTCAAGTTGGCAGTCTGGTGTTGAAGAATGGATCCTTCAGAAATATGGCAAGGTTTTGGCACTGTCTGCCGACATCTGCCGGCAGAAGATCTGGTGCTCAGTACCCAGGAGACAGATGAAGTTTCAAAAGCTGAAGATGGAAATTTCTTTTTTCTCTTTCCTGCTCTGAGAGGAGTAGGTGTGAATTTAAACTGGTGGGGACATAATATTTTTAGTATTGTATTTCTTAGTCATTTCTGTTAACTACTTGTCCTCCTGCATTTACTCTTCCCACTTCATCCAATTTTAGAAAATAAGTCCATACATTTCTGTCCCTGGTTAAATGACATACATGTGCTGGTTTTGGCTGGGAGGGAGTTAATTTTCTTCACAGAAGCTAGTATGGGGTTATGTTTTGGATTTGTACTGAAAACAGTGTTGATAATACAGAGATGTCTTCCCTACTGCCGATCAGTGCTTACACAGCATCATGGCCTCTTCTCCTTCTTACCAGTGAGGAGGCTGGGGGTGCACAAGGAGTTGGGAGGGGACAGAGCTGGGACAGCCGACCCCAGCTGACCAAAGGGATCTCTCATACCATATGGCATCATGCTCAGCATATACAGCTGGGGGAAGAAGAAGGAAAGGGGGGGATGTTTGGAGTTACGGCATTTTGTCTTCCCAAGTAACCGTTACGCATGATGGGGCCCGGCTGCCCTGGGGATGGCTCAGCACCGGCCTGCTGATGGAAAGCGGTGAATGAATTCCTTCTCTTGCCTTGCGTGAGTCGTTTTTGCTTTACCTATTAAACTGGATTTATCTCAACTCACAGGTTTTCTCACTTTCACTCTTCTGATTCTCTCCCCCATCCCGATGCAGGGGGGAGTGAGTGAGTGGCTGTGTGGGGCTTAGCTGCTGACTGGGATTAAACCATGTTAACACACCTAAACCATTGTTAACAAACATGCATATTGCTTTCAGATTCCAAGAGTTAGCAGCCTGCTAGGAAGTTGATCCAACCTTTTGAGATAACCATCTTCAGTCTCTGGAGAAAGGCTGATGTCTCAGGTTCTGCAAACATTCTCTTGAGTTTTAAACTTCTGTTTACAAAAGGGAAGAAGATACCAAAAAATAAAAGGTATCTATATGTTTGCATCAAAATTAATTGGCAAGTACAGAGTGGTGGGGCTACTGACCTTGTGCAATCTTGTCATTCAAGGGATGTTAATCGGTCAAACATAGGTTCTAGGGTAGAAAGTGTCACTTTCTCACTAGACTTGGTGTGGAACTGCACAACTGCCCTGTGGACAGGCTGGAGACTGGATCTACTGAAATCTTCTTCAAAGGATGCCTCTGAAGTAGCACGTTAAGCATCAGTTATATCAGAGATGTACACTATGCTGAAACCCCACTGCACTGCATATCTGAGGCATATTTGCGAAGTCTCAAGCTCTCTGGCCAACCCCAGCATTTTGTGACAATTGGCTTCAAGCATGTCCTCTTCTGAGGCTATTCTTTGCAGCGGAGGAAACTGTAAATTAGCATTTTCCCAAAGGCTATCTTCTTTCCTAGCAGAAGGAACGAAAGTCTAGAAAATTGACTGGAACATAGTATTAATTCAACTGGTGTAATTCCTCTTTCAAATCAGTCTTTTAATGTCTTAAGACAGTGTGTTCTGCTTGCACTTCTGCTGGATTTGACATTTTGTCACCTGAAGTTAGTCACATGGACATTCTGCTACAAGCTACTGCAGGAAGGGCAGGCTACAACTTTGTTTTGAGTCTAAATCTGCTCAACAGTAGTGAGAGAGATTATCAAAAGAATCGTGTGCACCTGATTACTTGTATACAAAACAGCTGATCTACTGAGCTAATAAGACAGATGGATGGAAATCATGCAAGGATAGCTGTGCCTTCTAGCACCCAATTTGTCACGCAGGTGTCATTTGCACCTAAGCCTTTACCATGTGTGTGCTGGTGGATAGGATTATCTTCCTGTTCATGCCCTGTTACACTGATGTTGTAAAAATATTCTTCAAAAAAATGTAATTCATTAGTGCCCCAGTTTCTTCAAAAATGCTCAGAAGTGAGAATACCTGTTGTGAGTATTATTTCAGAGAGAAAACACCAAATCTGATCAGAGAATCCTATTCTAACTGTAGCCTACATCAAATACAAATGGTTTGGGATGTCATAACATTCTGAGGCCTTCAATGGCATAAAAGACATCTAGGTATCTGACTCTTATTTGTGTCTATATTTTTTTTTTCTTTAAATGTCATCACTAGAAAGAAACTAGGAAAAAAACCTTCCTGTTCATATAGGTACTCGTGAACAATGCAGTCAGTAAAAGCTTGAAGAGACAAAAACCATTACGACTCCATCTTCTCCATTCTATTTCTGCAACATCCAGCCTTACACACAAAAACTATATTAATAGAACATCATTGTGCTTGCAAACTCAAGTACACAAAGTTAGAAAATCACAACTAAGTTCTCATATGCACATAGAATTTGATTGCACTTTTTTTTTTTTTTTTTTCAAATCATGATACAATTCCTAATTACATGACCACAGAGTGATTTCCACCAGACCCTTACTTTATTCAGTGTGCAAAAAGGTCAGGTTCAGACTTCATGGCACTCTTTAGCATCCTCACCTCTCTTAGCAACATCTAATTTCTTTATCCAGACAAGCCTGCTTTTCATCTTGTTTCCCAACTTCCCATAAAATTTTTTGGTTCTCTTTCTGTCTCCTATGGAAGAAATAAACTCATCATTGTTAATTCCAGTATCCATCCCTACCTGGGCCTGAGGGATTTAGAAAAAATCAGTTTTGCTCATCAAGTGGTAGACAGAGAAGAAGAATAGGAAGAAGAGAAAGAAGAAAATAATAATAATAAAAAATAATTTGTTGTCAGGGATCAGCAGAAGCAGTCTGGTAACGATTCAAAGGAGAGTGAGGTTTCTTAGCTGCTGTCCTAGACTAGTCAAGGAAGAAGAGGTCTGAGCACACTTTATGGGTATAGATTCTTTAAGGAGGCAGCTCTTCCCTTTTATCAACTCTCTACTAAGCACATACGGATTTTTAAAGGCTTACATAAGTAATTTTTTTTTTTTTTTATGCTTACACAGTGTTGGCATTATTCCCTAACAGAATTCTGAGAGGATTTTTTAATCCATCACAAGTTTTGAGGCTCCATTTGCTGACCACCCAGTAATATGTGGCTTACCGCCTCTCAAACTTGTCACAGGTTATCCTGCAGAAAGAGGACTTGCAACTAGTTCTTCCTTTCAATGAGCTAATTGATAAAAATGGGGTAAGACTCCTACATTACAGCCTGGTAATTACTATAGCAAAGCTAACACTGTATTTGGCATAAAGCCTATTCTCGAGGAGTGGTATCTTTTTCACCTTGATCTGGGAGAAGGTAAGGAAATACAGTACCTCCTGTTGATGATCACTTGTCTTGGCTGCGTCTATTTTGTGTTTGGTTATGCTGAGTGGAATAAGGTGGGAAAAAGTTTTAGAAAGCCATTGGCATCAAGTCTGGTACTGGAAAAATTTCCCAAGTTATTCTCTCTCATTGGAACTGCTGTAATATCAAGCTGTCATAGGAACAATAAAGCAGCACACTTGGAAATACTGTCATCACGGGCAAAGGGCACCATGCCAGTATAATTTCTGATTCCTGAGATCTTGTGTGTTGGTTGGAGAAGTTATGTTTAAAATTATTTTCCCTCTCTGTAGAGGGAATTCTTCTTTTAACTGACTTAAACACATGCTGGTTTCATTGGAAACTTTGCTTGTTCTGGTCATTTTTTTTAGGTGCTGCAGGAACTGTGAATTCTGATGCCATCTATGGTAGTAAAAGCTTATTCCTTTCCTCAGTACACAATATGATACAGACTGCAATTTTAGAGTAAGTAGAAATGCTAGCACCTGTGTGGCTGCCAAGCTCAGAAATGCAAGTACATACAGAATGTAAAATATCTATTGAATTGGTTGGGCTTTTTTGTATCTGTTGCTGGATTCCTTCAACGTCACCTTCAGACTTTGAAGGACTGCCCTTTTTTTGGGTCCAGCCTTGTCTGTTTGGCCTCTAGTACGTCTGAAAGCTTTAGTTTCACCTAATAATCAATGGAAGAACCCTACTGTGTCAAGATACAGTCTGAATCACATAATATTGAAGTGTTAAAGTAATTCTCTGAAAAAGAAGTGTTTAATGTTGACAGGTTCATTGGCACTAGTATTGGTCTTGCCTTGTTGCTTGACCTTAGCATCAACTTCCCTGTAACTGCTGTTGAGGCTGAGGAGGATTATCCTTTTGTTACTGACAGTTTCACTGCTGAGATGAGGTGACCTTTCCTATTCTTTTGCCAATGTAGCAAGTCCAGATCATAGCTCACAACTTCTCACATGCCAGCAAAACCACAGAAACTTGCTTTAGCATTGCCAGTTTTGGCCAGAGAGCTGGATGCAGCTCACAGTCACATCCCAGCTCCAGCATAGGAACATTTTAGTTTATTCACAGTACACTTCTGAGATACACAACCACTTACAGCCACTAAATGAGTTCATGTTTGTATGCTTGGCTGTTCGGACTATACTCTCTGTTTATATTCAGAAGCATGCACATATATTTCCATTGTGCTTTTGTCTGATAAAGACATGAAAGTGGACTACCTTCTGTCAATTTTGTTAAACTTCCAGAAAAGATTCATATGGGGCAGT